CCAAAGAGTGGACCACTATGATGTAAGCTTGATGTGAACTCTGTTGGCATCCCATAGACTCGAGGCATGGGCATTGTGAAACTAGGCACATACTGCCCCCCAGTTCCCGCCGTCATAGGCCTAGGTTCAGGTCGACGTGGTGTCACGACAGGCCCACTATGTGCAATCGAAACAGCAGACATAGTGTCAGCTCTAACATCAGTTGTTTGCGTCACAACCGTATTTCCCTCCGAAAATGGTTCTTCGTTTGGACGTGGTATCACCATCTTACCACTATGTAAATGCATACACCCAAACCAACGGGTCCCACTGGCGTGCCAATTTGTTCGCACACAGTTTTTGCGCGAATAACCTCTGGCCTTCTAACGCAGGCTTACTTGCGGGACCGGCCAAACAAATCCCATAACAAACTGGTCGAGTCTATGCGATGTTGATAGAATGGTTTTTGTTTAGAGTAAGTAGGAAACAAATTTGAAGAAAAAGTGTACACGAATTGATAAACAATCAAGTAAACAAGAAAAATAAAAGATATCTTAAAATTTGGTAATGTAAATTGCTTTAAAAAGAAATGTGGACGTTATTATATATTTTCTAGGAGTGAACTCTTTTCTCTTAACGCTTGGTACTCAGAGTGTATTCTTTTGACAATGTTACAAAATGCGCCCCCTAAATGAAAAATGGACATTGCTTTAAATAGAACAGGAAAATAATTGCTTTTCTCTCAATGTTGGTCCTGGTGGTGACACGTGTTGCTCCACCATCTTTGTAACTTCCCCATATTCTCAGCCTTTCAAATTCCCTCCTGCTCAAAAGTCCCCACACTTTATGTCAGTTTCATTGGCCTTCAATCGACACCTTCAATGACATAGCTTTGGGTTGACTCACAACACATCTCCTGATGGCGTCGACTTGCAATATATCTTTCGCTGGTGTCGACTTTGGTATTTTTCTTCACCATCTTCCTGACTTGTCAACCCACATATTAGCCTTTTCGTCAACTCTTCTCAGTCGAAATCTCCCAGCCAACAGTTGTACATACCAAACATGAAGAGTAATTTGCTCAGCATAGGGCAGCTAGTTGAAGAGAACTATAAGATGTCGATCAAAGACAAGATGCTGAGAGTTCTCGATGCAATTGGTAGGTTGATCTTGAAGGCTCAAATGTCTCAGAATAGGACCTTCAAGATTCAACTCAAAGTGATGGAGCATAAGTGCCTAGCAACTGCAGCCAGCAAAGATGATTGGTTATGGCATTTTCAACTAGGCCATTTCAACTTCAATGACATCAGAGAGTTAAAGAGGAGAAATATAGCTTTAGGATTACCTGAACTTAACATTCTAAGTGAAGTCTGTGAAGAGCGTGTTCAGTCGAAACAACATAAGATTAGCTTCAGCAAGGATGCAGGGAGGAAGTCGAAGGCAATTCTGGAAGTCATATACTCTAATGTATGTGGTCCAATCCAGGTGGATTCGATTGCAACAAATACTTTTTCACATTCATAGATGATTACAGTCGAAAGTTGTGGACTTACCTCATCAAGAAGAAAAGTGAAGTGATCGAGATATTCGCCAGATTCAAATCTATGGTCGAAAGACATAGTGGTCGAAAGCTGAAAATTCTGAGAACTGATGGTGGTGGAAAGTATGTGTCAAAAAAGTTCGATGCATTATATGAAAAATAAGAGATTATGCATGAGGTGGTGCCACCCTACACTCCATAACAAAATGGAATCACAGAAAGAAAGAACAGAACCATCATGAACATGGTGAGAAGTATGTTGAATGGAAAGGATCTACCCAAAGAATTATAGGAAGAAGCAGTCTCGACAGCAACATACATATTAAACAGATGTCCGACGAAGAAGCTCGAAGGAATCACACCAGGAGAATGTTGGTCTAGTGTCAAGCCTAGTCTTAGTCACTTGAAGGTCTTTGGATCTATAGCACATAGACATGTGCCAAATCAGTTGAGAAGGAAGCTTAATGATAAGTCGAATCAGATGATCTTGATATGATATCATTCGACTGGAGGTTACAAGTTGCTCGGCCTAGTGAATAAGCAGGTAGTGATCAGTAGGGACATAATCATAGATAAGCTTAAAGAATGGGATTGGACTGAGAACATCAAGAAGGTTTTAGGGAGAATCTCTTGTGAAGAACCAGCCACTGAAGTTGAAAGTGAAGTTCGACAGGAACAAGTTAGAGATGAAGTTGGCCCAAGCAGACCTCGACGAACAAGACACATGCCTGCAAAGTTGCAAGAATGTGTGATTACATCAGATGATATGATCGATGAAGAAGGTGAGTTGGTACACTATGCTTTCTATGTAGATGTCGAACTAGTCAATGTAGCTGAGGCATTGAAAGATTTGAAGTGGGTGAAAGTAATGAATGAGGAGCTAGACTCCATCGAAGTATATAACACCTGGTCACTTGTCGATTTTCCTCAAGGTAAGAAGGCAATTAATGTGAAGTGGGTTTACAAGAGGAAGGTAAATCCTAAAGGATAAGTAACTCAACACAAGGCGAGACTTATGGCGAAAGGATTTTTTCAGAAGGAAGGAATCGACTTCGACGAAGTTTTTGCACTTGTTGCTAGGATCGAAACAATCAGATTAGTTGTTGGTCTAACAAATATGAACAATTTCCACACATGTCAGATGGATGTGAAGTGTGCATTCCTTAATGACCCCTTATATGAAGAAGTTTATGTTGCACAACCAGCTAAGTTTGTGAAACGAGGCGAAGAAAGATAGGTGTACAGGCTGCATAAATCCCTGTATAGACTTAAGCAAGTTCCAAGAGCTTGGAATAAGAAAATTGACAGCTTCTTAAGGGAGAAGGAATTTGTGAAGTGTACGAATGAGCATGGAGTGTACGTAAGAAGAAGCAGTAGTGAACTACTTATACTATGCCTCTATGTCGATGACCTGTTGATAACAGGAAGTTGCAAGAAAAAGATCGAAGACTTCAAACATAACTTGAGTGAGGAGTTTGAAATGCCAGACTTGAGAAATCTCTCATATTTCCTTGGCATTGAATTCAACAAGAGTAGTAGAGGTTTGATGGTGCACCAAAGAAGATATACAAGTGAAATACTCAAGAGATTTGAGATGCAAGATTGTAACCTAACTTTGACTCCAGCTGAGACCAAATTGCAACTGTCAAAGGATTTAGATGAAGATGATGTCGACCCAACCAATATAGAAGACTTATTGGGCCACTTTAATACATTTGTCACACAAGGTATGACTTAGCATACAATGTAGGTATGGTAAGTAGATTCATGCAGAAGCCAAAGATGTCACACCTAGCAGCGGCAAAGAGGATACTTAGGTATTTGAAAGGGACTCTCGACTATGGCATTTTGTTTTCTGCATCTGATGAAGGAAAAAAATGCAAGTTAGTGGGATACACCGACTCTAGTTGATGTAGTGATGCTGAGGATGGAAAATCCATAGTTGGCTATATGTTTATGTTAGGTGGTGCACCAGTTGCTTGGAGTTCGAGAAAGGAGTCAGTAGTGGCATTGTCATCATGCGAAGTAGTATATATAGATGTTTCTCTTTATGCATGTCAAGCAATTTAGATGGTGAACCTGGTCGAAGAGATCACAACGAAGAGTCATAGAGCAATTACCATGAAGATCAGCAGCATGTTAGCTATCAACTTGGCGAAGAATCCAATAGCACACGGTCGAAGCAAGCACATCGAAATGAGGTTTCATTATATTCGAGAGCAGATAGCAGAAGGGAAGATGAATTTGGAACACTGTAAACTGAGAATCAGATTGCAATCATGGCGAAGGGAGTTCCAATCGAAGTGTTCAGAAGGCTAAGGTCTATGATGAATGTAAATAATTTGGATACAAAGAATTAGGTGGTGTGTTGAGTTTATAATTCCTTATATCAAAGCAGTGTAGTTCGACAGAAACAAAGATTAGTCAAATATTACTATTATCTTTGTCAAAGATTAGTCAAATATTACTATTATGATTTTTTCGAAAATAAAAATATTTGTTTTTTTGAAAATACAAAAAAATGATTTTTCCAAATTTAAAAAAATCAATTTTTCTGGAAAAAAATTGATATTTTTCAAAAATACAAAAAATCAACTTTTCCAAAAATAAAAAATAGATTTTTTTCAAAAATACAAAAAACTCAAAATTTCTAAAAATAAAAAGAAAATCGATTTTTTAAAATACGAATAATCAATTTTTTTCAAAAATTACAAAAAAAGAAATTTTTTTTTTCAAAATTAAAATAATCATTTTTAAACTATTTATTAAATTTAATTATTTCATAAAATAAAAAAACAATTTTTTATTTTTGAAAACGTAAAAAAAATATTTTATAATTTTTTTTATAAATAACATTTTCTAATAAAAAATTAATAAATAAAAATTAATTTTTAGATGAATGGATCAATATATTAATAGATATATTGGATTGAATATTAAAAAAAAAATAGATTATCAATAGATTAATTAATTGTTTTGATTAATCTATTAATCATTCAATCTATTGGCAATTCAATTTATCCATCAGTTTCATTCATTTTGTCATCCTTAAATAATGTTCTACGAATTGTCAAATATATGGTTTTGCTTTCTTTCTTCTCTAGCAATACAATAATCCCTCTCATAAAGAATCTTCAACTGTTGTTGAACCAAACCGAAGAGGTCCTTAAGCTAGTTGATGTTGTTCTTAATGCAACTATTTTCTACTCGCATCCAAACTCCAAAGAGAACCCTTAACTAAAAAATAAACACCATACAAATTATAGAAACAAGAAATGAGAGAGGATTTAAAAAGCAAACATACATTTTATAATTTCTTTTGGTTTGGCATAAACAAGAACTAAAGTATCAATAATCATGGTAACCAAATTATATATTACGATCATTTAGTTCTTAAACATCACTTGTATGGTCTATCTTAAATCACACCAAACCACATTCCTTGTTTCAAACAAACAAAACACATCACATGACATGACAGTCACAACTCATTTCTTTCATCTTGAGGAACTAACATGGCAATATCATTTGCTACATTTTGAGCATCAAGGTTAGCTCCATAAAACCCCCTCCTTGACAATCCAACGCAGTACAAACCATTCTTACCCTTCCAATGGAATGGTAAACCAGGCTTTGGAAAACCATCCTCATTCAAAAGATCATCACCTCCCTGTTCAAATCAAATAAACCGTTACATTAACTTAGATTGCACATGACGTCGTATTCAATAAAAGATTGTTAGAATAGAAGAACTTGAGTCTCATCAAGCCGGCTCTCTCTCTCTCTCTCTCTCTCCGTTGATAGTTGTGCAGAGACATCTGCTTGTTAGAGCATGGATTGGAATACACGACATCCTACTTATTCACCTTTAAAGGTGAAATTCCATCATTTCGCCTATTTAACAAAAAAAAAATAGAAAAAAATACAATCAATACCTTAAGCCATTTTTGAGTTGATCTGTTGAAGCCTGTACAGAATATAATGGAGTCAAATGGGTAGGATTTTCCATCACGGAACAACACTTGGTTACCTCTTATACTCTCTATTTCAGCTCCCAACACCTACAACAATATTATGCCATACTTATTTAGTTATGATTTAAGCGTGACAAATTTTGGGCCAAGTACAGTAGTTCATCTTGTACGCTCTCAATAACAACCCTATCTACGACACTAGACTAATCACTTGCAGAAATGTGAATAATTTAATTGAACAGATGCTTAATTCAATTCACAAAAGCAAAACATACACATATACCTGTATCTCTCCAGATTTGATTTTCTTAACCGTTCCCAAATCAATTATAGGAAATTTTCCATACTTAATCTTCGTAGTGAAAGGACCCTCAGTAGGAAAAGGTATACCATATTTACTCAGATCTCCATACACAATTCTGCTAACTATCACCACTAGTTTCTCCACTGTGCTGAGTGACAGATAACTCAACAAAACCCCAGCATAATACATCATATCCCTTGAAAGAAAATGAACCTATATGCAATCAATTAATCATTATTAACTAAAGATATCATAGTTTTTCTGTACGAATCAAAACGATAAGAGCTGAATCTTTATAAGATACTAGATAGAATAATACCGGGCTTCTAACAATGATCGAAGGTTTGGCACCAAAATTGGCCAAATCTAAAGAAATCTCCATACCAGAATTTCCGGAACCAACAACAAGAACATGTTCATCTTTAAACTCTTTCCCATTTTTATACCCAGTCGAATGCATCACTTTCCCATTGAAACTCTCCAACCCCAAAACTTCCGGTACACGAGGTTCAGCTGTTTCGCCGCTAGCCACCACCAAGAACCTTCCAGAATATTCTTCAACTTCACCGGAAGTTCTATTCTCAGCCTCAACCTTCCATTTCTCATCATCCTCAAAATACTCCGCTAACACAACCTTTCTGTTGTATAAAGGATTGATGTCAAAGTTTTTGACGTAGCTGCCTAGGTACTGTATGAATTGTTTTCTAGGTACATAGTTAGGATAAGAAGATGGAAATGGAAAGTGCGGTAACTCACAAACTTGCTTTCTTAGATGAAGATGAAGACGATCGTAGGTGTAGTTTTGCCATAGAGAAGCAAAACAGTTTTCTCTTTCGAGAATGATGAACGGTATGGATTGTTTTGCTAAGCAAGCTGCCGTGGCTATGCCGGAAGTTCCAGCTCCGATTATTATCACCGGTGCTACCTGCATTATGCTGTTTCTGAGTTTTTGGTTTGATCAAATTGGTAGAAAATGTAAAAGGGTGTCTTAAAGTATAACACGTGGAGTTTTAAAAGTGTACACAACAGATTCCTGAAACAAATGGCATCCTCTCTGAACCACAAAAAAGAACACAAATATTTATCCATGGGAAATTAAAACAAATACTAGTCATAGTCATGTTATTTTCTTGTTTTTGGTTAAAAAAATTTAAATGAGTTAAACTCCAAAGTTTTCATCAAAGTCAAAATAGATCTTTAAGGTTCGATGGAAATCTTTATAGAAATATTTATTTTAAAGATTAACTATTAAAAAAATTAAAGCATTGCACTCTTTTGTTATACTAAATATATAAATCATATATATTGTTCACCGTGAACAATATTTTTTTAAATATAAATTTTTTTTGTGTAAACGGATACGGTGAGTAATGGTGAACAATGTTTTTTTAAATTAAAAAAAAATTGTATGAACTTTGCATATTTATGAACAATTATTTTATAGTAAAACAATGTTAACTAATAAAATATAAAAAGTTTGTTAATGATGTGATAAAACTTGTTAATAAAAATTCAGATATTAAAAAATATTTTTAATAGCAAATTTAAGTTGATTAATAAAAAGTAAAAAGTTGGTTAATTAAGATACGAAATTGGTTAATAAATGTCCGGATATTAAAAATAATTTTTAACAATAAACAAAATTGGTTAATGAAATATGTAAAAGATGGATTAATAAAGTTATGAAGCTTGTTAATTAACAAATTTAGATCAATATTATTTAATTTGAAAATAAAAAATAAAAAATAAAAAAAATTATATATATATTTATATATATATATATATATTGTTCCGGTGTGGGCCTCACCTCGGCAGGCCCAATACCAAATACGGCCCAACAGGCGAACTAAGCACACCTGGCACACGCCCCTTCGGACGAGCAGGACCGTCCGCCGGGCACAAGCCATCACACCGCATCCCCTTTGTCGCCCGTCACACCGGACGAGCAAGACTATCCGGGCTCCCTCCGCGGGAGAATAACGTGCTCGGCGCACGTTCTCCACGTGCTCCCCTCCGCGGGGACACGTCATCGGCCAACCGCCCACCTCCGAAAGAGCAGGTCAAACCCACTTTCCGGAAACCTAGGAGCGGTTGAACTAGGGCGAAGACCATGTCCTGGTCTTCACTACGCCACGTAAGCCCTAGCAGTCATTAGGGTTGGGCCTGGTCGTCCGGCCCACCTCGAATGACCGTTGGCCCAGCGCTGGGGTCTCTCTATAAATACCCTCTTCTTCAAGAGGGTCAGGTAACTCTTCTTGCCCCCCCCCTTTTCTGTACTATTGCTTCCTCTCTGTCCAACTTCTTACTTGGGCGTCGGAGTGCTTTGCAGGTACACCCCCTCCTCGTTCTTACCTCGGCGAACAGATAACCGTCCAGCGAAGTGTGGCCAGTCCGTGATCCCTCCTGATCAGGTCAGATCAGTGGCGCCGTCTGTGGGAAACTGAAACTTCCCCGTTACTCCGAGCAGAAAAACCAAAAGTTTCACCAAACCTCCACGGTCATGGCCAGCCCACGCCGCGATGACACTCCGCACGATCTCGCGCTCAACACTGCCACCAACGGGAAGCAGGTAGGAACGGCGCGCCTGAATGAAGCCGACGAAAGAGACGGGCAAACTGCCTCACCATCGTCCGAGGAACGGCCCCTGCATGCCGACCATCGCCCCCCGAGCCCGCCGGCATTCCACCCCGTTCCCATCCCGGCGGGAGCGGACCCAACGGTAGCCGCTCTCTTTGCAGCCATCAACCAGACGAACCAGCTGCTGTCCCAACAGAACGCTAGAATTGGAGCATTGGAACGCGGCGGCTCCCCGAGGTACCCCCAGCGGGAAGACCAGAACGGAGGTTCGAGGAGCCCCTCACCTCGACCCAGGAACCGCCGACCGCGGTTGGAGAGACGCCGCCCCCAAGCAACACGGGAGCGCACCAGATCCCCGGCAAGACACGGTCGCGGGAGGAACCAGAACGCCGCGGCGACCCCAACCGAGGAAACCCGAGGCGGGAACTCAGGCCGGAGATCGAGAACCCGAAACCCGGGACACACCGCGATCGGCTCATCTCCCCTGAGATCCCCGGCGCACAGCGACGAGGATGACTACCGCACCCCACTATCCCGGGAGATCATGGCAGCCCCTATACCCCAAGGAATGGAGAAGCCACCGACGCTGTCAACGTACGACGGCACCTCCGACCCGGACGATCATCTGGAAGACATCGAGGCTATGCTCGACTACCGCAATGTCCGGGGAGCTATTAAATGCAGACTCTTCCCGACGACTCTGAGGAAAGGCGCTATGACCTGGTACAAAAGCCTGGAGCCCGAATCAGTTACATCGTGGAGGGTCTTGAAGGACCTATTCTCCAAACACTTCACAGCGTCCCGGCGTCACCCGAAGACGGAAGCAGTCCTCGGGGCGATCATCCAAGGCCCCGACGAACCCCTCCGGAAATACATCGAAAGGTTTACTCGGGAAGCCGTACAAGTGACGACTTCCGACGAAATGAAACGCTACTTAATGGAGCAAGGCCTGCGCCATGACTCCAAATTCTACGAGGCCGTAGGCATACACCGGCCCACGTCCCTCCAAGACTTCCTCGACAGGGCCGCCCATTACATCCGGTTCGAGGAAACACAAGCGGCCAACTCCGCTCGCGACACCCGAGACAGAGAAGCCCCCCGCGGGCACCGAGACGACGGAGCTTCGAGCCACCGACGAGGAGGAGACCGCCGTCGGGATGACCGCCACCGCGAACCCCGCGAACAGCGCGAGTCACGCGGCCCGGCAGGAAGGTTCACCGAGTACACCGCCTTGGTCGCTTCACGCGAACGCATACTGGCCGAATGCGCTAAAACCGAGTTTGTGCAGGGAGGTGTCCGTTTTCCACGACCAACGCCGCCCAAACCCAACGTGGACAAGTCAAAATACTGCCGGTTCCACAGGACACACGGGCATGTAACGGAAGACTGCATCCATCTCAAGGATGCGATCGAAATCCTAATCAAAGATGGGCACTTAAAGCGATACACCCGGGGAGGTGAACCACCCAGGTCGGAGGCTCCGGAGGCTAAGAAAATCGAGGAGCTCCCCTCCCCAGAGGACGGCGAGAGACTCCAGGTCGCGCTGTGCGTCAGCCGCCCCGAGGATTGGTTCGCAAGCAGAGGATTCGGCATCCCCGAAGCACCCAGCTTAGTCGGCGAGCCAATCCGACCAACCAGCCGATGGGAATACTTCCCCAGAGCCATGGTCATCTCTGATGGAGCTACGAGGAGTCTGTCCATAGGATCTGTGAAAAGGAAATTCGACGAACTCATCGCGGGCAACTCCGGCAGGATGAGCACGCTCGACAGATTCCGAGGCCGCTCCAACCCGATCACATTCTACCTCGAGGAACTACCCGGGGGATCTCCCAATTCCAACATACCCTTGCTCATACGTGCACGTATGGCAAACTTCGACGTCAGGCGCCTCCTCGTCGACGGAGGGAGCTCGGTTGACATAATGTACTCACATTTGTTCACAACTCTCCAGCTCAACGAATCCAACCTCTCCCCCTACGTAGGCTCCGACCTCCAGGGGTTCAACGGGACAACGACAAGACCCTGGGGATACGTGGAACTGAAAGTCACATTTGGGGAAGAGGAAACGGCCAGAGACATCAGCGTCCGCTTCTTAGTCATCGAATGCCCGTCCCTGTATAACTGCATCCTGGGCAGGACAACGATAGCAGAACTCACCGCGGTACCCTCCACCGCCCACCTGAAAATGAAATATTACACGAGAAGGGGAGCCGTGGTCACCCTCAACGGCGACATCGAAGCTGCCCGAAGGTGTTTTGAAGCCGCGCTGAAAGGCTTCGACTCCATCGCTCCACCGACCAAAAAGAAAGCACCGAGCGCTACGCCAAAGGACAAACCAACAGAGCTGGTCGGATCAGTTGAGCTCGACAGTCGCTTCACCGACAAGCTCGACAACAAAAAGACTGACGCAGCCAACGAGCATCCAGCGCGCCCCATCCCGGATGGCGATTTCGAGCTCATTCCCCTCGGGGACGACACGACCAGAACCGTGAGGGTAGGCGCAGGACTCCCCGACCTCGCGAAACGACAGCTCCAAGCCTGCCTCCGCGAGAATGCCGACCTCTTCGCCTGGAGCGCCGCGGAAATGCCGGGACTCGACCCTGAGGTCGCCTGCCACCAGCTGTCCATCAGCCCGACCGCAAAGGCCGTGGTTCAACGCCGTCGCCGCCAGTCCCCGGAAAAATCGGCAGCTGCCGAACAAGCTGTAAAAGACCTCTTAGAGGCAAATTTTATTTCGGAAGCCCGGTATTCCACCTGGCTGTCCAACGTTGTACTTGTTAAAAAGAATAATGGAAAATGGCGCATGTGCGTTGACTACACTGACCTCAACCGGGCATGTCCTAAGGACGCCTACCCCCTCCCCAACATCGACAAGCTCGTCGACAACTCGGCGGGCTTCAAACTCTTGTCCTTCATGGACGCATACTCGGGATACAATCAGATCCCGATGGCCGAACACGACAAACAGGCCACGGCCTTCATGACAGCATCGGGCAATTACTATTACAACGTAATGCCCTTCGGCCTCAAAAACGCCGGGGCCACGTACCAACGGATGATGAACCGCGTCTTCCACGACGAGATCGGGGACATGCTCGAAGTCTATATGGACGACATGATCGTCAAATCCGGCGCGGAAGACGACCACGCGGCACATCTCCAGAAGGTCTTCAAGACCGCGAGATCATGTCGCATGCGTTTTAACCCGGAGAAATGCACTTTCGGCGTCTGCGCCGGTAAATTCCTCGGCTACTACTTGACCGAACGGGGGATCGAAGCCAACCCGGACAAATGCCACGCCTTCTCCAATATAACCACGCCGACCACGAAGCGCGCCATCCAGTCCCTCAACGG